TACCTCTGTACAAAACATTACCGGAGTCAGGTTTTAATCAGAGCGGCAAAAAATCACGTCAAGAGACGGTTTCACACTGTGTGCTAGGCTGGCTGCTTCAAAGCAAAGCCAGGTGGTTACCTAACACCTAACACAAAGCACATGCTATCTTGGACTAATTTGTGACAGGAAAAAAGGGGGAAATATGAATACATAAAAGGCCAATTGCCCAATTTATATAAATCATTTCCACATGGACTTATAAAACAGTTGTCCTGCACCATCCATGAAAAGTCATGGAAATAACATTTTCTTGAAGAAAAGGAGGGCGATAGGATATGAGGAGGAAGAAGAGAACAAGAGGAAGAGGAGAAGGAGGACGAAGACAGTACTAACTCATATTAGCAAGCAGCGAGGCCCCTGGAGCCAAACAGCCCTAGGACCGTGTAGTAGGGGGGGCATAGAGGACAAACCTTATCAAGATGTGAAAGGGTGAAAGAAGGGGCAGAGAATGTGATGTATTGCTACTTCTTTTCCCAACTACAATCGACAGAAGATTGTAAAGCCGTAGCTGGCTTTTCATAGTGTGCTACTAATAATGTCCTGAGGTTTGTCCCCTAGTGCTGGGGTCTATCATCAAATAGAATATCAACTTTCTAGAGAGGAATGTTGTAGATGGGAACAAAATATGACATATTGTGGTTCTGCTGAAACAATAAACATAGAATTCTCAATATCTATCAAACATCTATTGATCTTTGTGCTTGGAAAACAGTAGAACAACATGAGTAGCTCACGGGGATGGTACCACAATTCAATTAAACACATCAGAGGTTTGGCATTCACTAGAGTCGTCCATCGAGAAGTAATCCTTGGGATTTTATTCACTTAACATATGAATAATGACGGCTCTCTCACTAGCAGTTATTCACATGGTTATGTCCAAAACATAACATGGTTGCAAAATAAATTTCAAGCCACCATCCCCCTAGAACTGTTTCATACCAAGATAGAACATGATGTATCTCTTAATTATCATTTAAAGTGGCATGGGTTTCATGATCTGAGGATGGCTCTGAAAAAATAACTTTGGCTGGAATTCAACCAATTGAAGACATAGGGTTATTTTCCTGCACCAAACCTTCAGAAGTGTGTATGATGGATTTGCAAAGCAGTGTCCCAGATGGAAAGATTTGAGTTGACACTTGATTTAGAAATCTTAAATCCCATGGCGTGACCTGCCACCACACAACCTGGCTGAGAAGTAATCAGGCACAGGCAACAGTATTAGTGATTCCTAAATCGAGTGTCAACCAGACCTGAGCTCAAATAATTGAAAAATCATTTAAAATACTTTGAGCGTTCATTTGAGTCTGCCTGTAGTGCCAAATGGGCGGGGTTTGCAGTTTGGGACTTTTCTATTGGTTTATTAAGCCAGGCAAGCTCAAACAGGCACAGATAAAGCTTTTGAAATGATTATTGAAGTATTTGAAACCCAGGTCTGGTGTCAACTCCCTCCACACACTGCTGTGCAAATGAAACACACTTCTAAAGAACAGTATGGAAAATCCACTATTTACAACAATTGAACTGTAGTCAAACATTGTGTAATACTGTATTAAGCTTTTAGATTTCCTCCAAGGTTCCACCAACTCTACAGTTTGCACCTTAATAATCAGTGTCCCTCTTCAGAAGGCGGCAGGAGGAGGCAGAGAGGACAGTTATTGATGTACCATTCCTGTCTGGAGGAATGATGACAATCTGTTACAATCTGTTCATTAGCCTATAAATACATGCAGGCAGATAGAGACAATGAGTGTCTGCATATGAGCCTGTGAGTGTGTGTGTGTGTGTGTGTGTGTGTGTGTGTGTGTGCGCTTATGAGCCTCCCCCTAACTGCTGTAGAGATTTCCTTATTTGCTCTGGCTGTGATATCCATGGCAACATTTCTAATTCTAAGAACTAAGTAAATGGCAAAACGGAGCAAGTGAGAAATCCTATTTTCAAAGAAAGGCCTTAATCATTGATGCCATGTCAGTGTTACAACATGACTAACGGGTTAATAGTGGGCCGGATCACAACACCTGCTTGAGAACACAACACTTACACAGTACATGGCTTAGACCCAAAGCCTCGGCGTTGCACTTGCCATATCGATTGTGCCTTGACCTATCATACCCCCTCATCAATTAGCTAAGTCCTTTGAACTGTAAGAGCCACACACAGCCGGTTGGGACAGCCTGGTCCTATACTACCTGGGTGACGGCCCGGTCTTAGTCTCTCTGGGTGGGTGGCCTGCGCCTTACAGCTGTCATACACACAGGCCTTTCCTCTGGCCGGGACATAATCTGACTGGTTTCTGATTTTCATCTCTGTGACCATACTCACATAAAGTGATTAGGCCAGACTCCCTTTGAGTGGTGCGAGGAACCACAGCGCAGCACAAGAAGAGGAACAAGACAAAAAGTCCAAAAGTACAACCACAGTATTACTTTGATCAGGAAGCTGAAGGACAAATGAAATGTCTGGGATTGCTTTTTTATGGTAAATTAGTATGTTAATATGGGGGTATTTAATTTCAGTGTGTGTAACGATCTCTGAAGCAGTTTCCTTTCATCCCCCAACTTCATTTTAAGCCCTTTTAATTGGGCTCTTGAATGTCTAAGTAGTTGGTAGATACATTTTGATTTTCTCAGCTATGTTTTCAGGGCATGGACCTCCACATAGAAAGTCTTATCCACTTTTACATGCCTGCTTTAACCACTTCATAGGGAGAAGTTATCTGGAATAAGTGAACCAAAGAGGTTATGATGTCATCACTAGCTTACGTCTGTAAACATTATTTGACTTGCTTTCAAACTCAAGAAATACGTTGCTGGTCAAGTGTATGATTTGTTATGCTATAATAGTCTAATACCTTTTTCTCAAGTTGATGAATCATACAGTAAGATTAGGACTACATCATCTCCCGAGTGGCACAGTGGTCTAAGGCACTGCATCGCTGTGCTAGCTGTGCCACTAGAGATCCTGGTTTGAATCCAGGCTCCGTCGTAGCCGGCCGCGACCGGGAGACCCCATGGGGCGGCGCACAATTGGCCTAGGGTAGGGGAGGGAATGGCCGGCAGGGATGTAGCTCAGTTGGTAGAGCATGGTGTTGGCAACGCCAGGGTTGTGGGTTCGATTCCCAGGGTATGAAAAAAAAAAGAAGAAAAAAATAATGTATGCACTCACTAACTGTAAGTCGCTCTGGATAAGAGCGTCTGCTAAATGACTAAAATGTAAATGTAATCCCAACTATCTCTTCGTCCTCCCAAAGTGTGCACTTGTTCACTTCCCTTCACTGACTCTGGATAAGAGTGTCTGCTAGATTACGTAAATGATTTGAAAGGAAATGACTGGAATAAGAAATATGGTGGAAACTCCCATTAGCCAACGCCGCCACCAATCCAATGCTTTTAGATTTGTGGGAAGTACTGACACTTCGGGTTTTTAGCTGTTCTGGGATTTAGCTGGAATACCATCTCAATGTAACACAGTCGCCACCTTGTGACAGAAAATGAGACATGGAACAATGCAAATGCCTCAAATTACTATGGTGGAAGTGTTTTTTCTATGTTCACCACTAAGAGGAGCTACAAAACCATTTACCAATTGGACTCCGCTGTACTGTAAGACAGATATGCGTGCAACATTTCACCACCAAGTGTCAGTGTGGTAGAATGTCAACAAAAAAGTACCAAAAGGGCATTACGGATACAGTTTCCCCACATTTATTATCTTGTTCTGTTACTGCCTTTGCAAGGTTAAGAGTTAAAAAATCAACTTACTATATCATGATAATATATATCCTGTTTCTAGCATACCAAGTTATTCATACATACAGGTAGTTTTCAACGTTATGCATATTATTTTCCATTCAAAACATATCTATAACACTTTAAACGTGTTTTGCTGATTAATAATCCCTCATATAATACATACAGGAACACATACCACCAAGCAAGCAAGCCCATCTATATACTGTATAACTCCAAAGCAGGCCTATATGAAAACAGTGGTTACACACAATGGGCCTGAATTGAGCGTGCAATTTAGTTCACCAAGTAAGAGTTCCAGTCCACATGTAACAGCACAAGTAACCATGTTACACTTTGATTCTCCTATGTCTTCATACACGTAACTGTATCAATATATATATACAGTATGAAGGATCAACTAGGACAGGCTCATAGAGAATGATCAGATCAGTGTGGGGGGGAGGAGAGAGAGAGAGAGAGAGAGAGAGAGAGAGAGAGAGAGAGAGAGAGAGAGAGAGAGAGAGAGACTTCCTATCTGCAGACGAAGAAGGCGCTAGTCTTAGACACCCAGCTCAAATACACCAAACTTCCATTTGAGATGGTTTGTTATTCAGACAAACTAGCAGGCTACAATCATAGATATATATATATGGCTACAACAGAAAACAAAGAGTTATCCAGTGCATCCCTTTGATCAGGTTTGTTCTGTGGCACATTGGGAGAGTAGAAACATCCTTTATAATGATTGTCATAGTAGGGTTCATGTTTCTTCTGAGTGATTCATAATCTCCACCGACAAGCAGACAGTCAATCCTGGTGGACGTTCAGCTGTCAATAAACCAATCAATCAGCCATCATCCTACATGTTGAATCCAACCTCCTACTAGTTAGTGGTCGATATTGTTCCCATAGAGACAAGGTCTCAATGTGTCTGTTGTCACAGCCAGAAGGAAATTAAGAAGATGCTGATTATGAGCAGTCAGTCAGTGCTCTGCCGAGTCACTTCCTTCTGTACTGTATCTCTTGGGCTGTGGCTGTGAACAGATTGTGCCCTGTCCAGTCAGTTCCTACTATAGCTCCTGTACTGGGATATGGCTGCAGCCTACTCAGTTGTTATTAATGTATGCCTATCCTGACCTGTGGCTGTGTGCTGCAGCCTGCTCAGTCAGTCGTTTCTATAGTTCCTGGGCTCTTTCTGTGACTGCAGCAGCCTGCTCAGCCAGGCTACATGTGACCCTGTTTGTCTGAGGACGAGGAGGAAGTGGAGGAGGACAGGGACGGAGTCTTGGGGAACACCCTGTCTGTGGGGGTGATAGAGGCTGGACTACCCAGGCCTGAGGAGCTGGAACTACTAGACCTGTGCTGCCCCTGTCCCCCCTGTCCATGCCCCTGTCCCTGTCCATGCCCCTGTCCCTGTCCCTGTCCATGCCCCTGTCCCTGTCCATGCCCCTGTCCCTGGCCATGCCCCTGTCCCTGGCCATGTCCCGAGTGGATGGGAGCAGGCCGGAGCGGTCTGACCGGAGGCGACCTGAGAGGGGCGCTGGGCCTCCGTGCTGTCAGGGGCGGTTTGAAGGTGCTCATGGTCTCGGAGGACGAGGAACTGCTGCTACGGCGCAGGGCGGCGTCAGGGTCCCGGATGACCATGGTGTTGGTGTGGAGGGGGCTGCCAGGGGGCTCAGAGGAGGAGGGGTGCTGCTGCTTCAGGGGCTCCAAGGTGTCCAGGACCACGTCGGGGGTATGCTTGGCCACGTTCTGCCGCTCCAGCTCAGACAGCTCGTTCAGGGCTGTGTTCATGGTCTTCTCTATGTCCTGTAATACACACAGTTTCACCACTGATATTAATCCAGTGTCTTATGTCCTGCAACACACACCATCTTGGCTGTCCATCGTAGTCGATGATGACAATTCACGCACACACAGTATTAGACACCATTCTATAGAAATTATGTCCCATTCAGACATCTGCTCTTATTGTTCATCCTCAAACAAAATACTGACATACCAAGTCCTCCCAATAAAAACCAAACAGTTTCTTCTTGAAAGCAGGGACAAATGGACAAATTAACACTTCACAAATGGTTCCAATATTCTCTCTCTAATGAAGCACACAAAGGGAGCCATATTTAAATGTGGAGCTAGCAGCAGCTAACAGACTGAACAGTAATTAGGAGATGAGAGACAGAGGGCAATGAATGGGCCTCTCTCTCAGATGTCCTTCCCACTGCTGCCTGACTTTGTCCCTCTGAGTCCTGGCTGGGATCCATATACTATACTGGAGACATTCTGAGAAGAAATATTTCTCCCTCAGTCAGTCTGTCTGTCTGTCTGTCTGCCTGTCTCTCCATCTCTCTGAACAACAGACAGGAGAATATCCTCATTAGCTTCGACTGCACAACTCCAAGCCTGGCTGCACTGGCAGGAAATATTATGAATAACAAGGTCAGTTTGGTCTTGCCTGACTTCACCCACTGAATCAATTGCTTTGATAATCGTCAAGTCTTTATTGCAGTGATTAGATTCTCACCTCTGTATACCCTGATAAATGCTCTTTAGCCAAAACGTTGGTTAAATAAATCCACAAGCAACGAGAGATGAGTGGGCAACCTTCTTTTTTCAATTGGTTAGTTTATTTTCCGTTAGCCAGCACCTCACCTTTAGGCCGGGTGTGCGTTTTGTTATTTCTCTACTTCTTTGATAATGTACTTCTTAGACTCTCACCTCTGCCAGTGATTTCTGGTCGCCAAGGCTACCGTGGCGGGTGGAGCCGGGGGAGGGTCTGAGGGCGGGGCCATCATGGAAGCACTTTCTGTCTGGATGGTTGATACTTCCTGTGCTGCTGAACGTGCTGAGATGGCGTTTCTCTGGACTGTCCATGCGGCCCCTGCTGACAGCCATCTTGTGAGGGCTGCAGGGGCGGGGCATGACCTTAGGGAGTGTGTCCATACCTCGGGTGGGGCTGTGGGTGTTGGCGGTGCTCCTGCGGCAAGGGATAACAGTACCGTCTGAATGAACCCTCAACCTGTTAGGCCACAACACAGAGAGCAGACTCTCAGGACAGCATCAAGGACAGAACAGGACAGGGAGAAGGCATGGTGCAGATATAAAATATAGCTAATTCAATACAACTACACTAAATTAACCATTATTTTGTAGCCTCTTCATGGAGTAAAACATCTCATCCTGCACGTGTCTAGAAAACCTGTGTTAACCTGCATTTCTTCAAATCCTGTGAACTGTGAGCATGAATCAACAAAGTCAAATTCAATGTGTAGCCACCTTCCAAGAGCATCTCCATAGCGGTGTTCAGGGGTATGTTGTGTGTGTTCGCAAGGGGCGCTGCGGTCACGGTTCCTGGATGAGGTTCTGTCTCTGTCCTCCTGGTGGGGTCCACTACTGGCCTCACTCTCAGCCTTCCAACTCAGACTGTCTGAGAACGCATCATCCCTGAGGTAATGGAGAGACAGAGAGAAGACGGGGGGTTTATTCATTAGTTATTTATATGCTGGCAAAATGCAACAAACAATAATACCAATTTCATTAACGAGTCACTGCAAATCATCTGGATACCCTTACACCAGTGATGATCCAGCCTCCCGAGTGGCGCAGTGGTCTAAGGCACTGCATCGCAGTGCTAGCTGTGCCACTAGAGATCCTGGTTCGTATCCAGGCTCTGTCGTAGCCGGCCGCGACCGGGAGACCCATGGGGTGGCGCGCAATTGGCCCAGCGTCGTCCAGGGTAGGGGAGGGAATGGCCGGCAGGGATATAGCTCAGTTGATAGAGCATGGTGTTTGCAACGCCAGGGTTGTGGGTTCGATTCCCACAGGGGAATTTTTTTTTTTTAATAATAATAATTATGCACTAACTGTAAGTCGCTCTGGATAAGAGCGTCTGCTAAATGACTAAAAATGTCCCCCAAAAAAAAAAAATCCGAAATTATTATCACAACAAACAATCCTTCAGAATCAAAATCTAACTCATCACCTGCTGCCAGGTGTTGGACCTCTTCAAGTTATCATTAACAAGCACAACACCCATTCCCCGGTTCCCCCGGGCCCCGGATCAGCTGGAGATGAGTGTGTCTGCGTCCCAAATGGCACACTATTCCCTTTATAATGCAATACTTTTGACTAGTGCACTAGTGCACAAGCTCTGATCAAAAGTAGTGAACTATAAAGGGAATAGGGTGCAATTTGGGACGCATCCTGTGTCTTTTCCCTAATTAGGGTTTAATTCTGCCATCTCCACGGTGATGGGCGGTGATTGGCTGTCGGGTGGGGTTCCGGAAGGATAAATGACCAGCTACAGAGTGACCTTAATGTTCCATCCTTTTCATGAGGAAGTGTTGGTTCAGGAGACTGAGGAGAGGAGAAGCTCTTTTACTAATTACTAATTGGGGATTTATTTGCTTTGAAGTGCTTGGTGCTTATAAATGCTAACTGCATAATTGATACAATAACAGACTGTCTGGTGCTTACTGTATGCCAACTGCTGCATTGACACAGTATCAGACTAATGCACTTTGGGCACAGTTCACTATTATTGACTATTGACATCTCAATTTACTGTTATTGACATGGACTCACATAACCTGAAGGACCCATGGTCAGGGTGCCCAGTCTGTCTCTAGTCTACTGAGGATTACAATAGAAGTGCGTATCCTAAACAGAGGCATGTAGCATTTGAGCAGTTACACAGAAATGTGACACATTTAGTACTCATGCTGTCCTTACATGTCCTGCACCACGATGTACTGATGTGGGATGAGTCCGTCCACTCCGTTGTGTCGTCCCTCCCACCAGTCATCAGAGGCTCTCAGGTACAGCAGCAGTGATGCCCCCTTCTTAAAGGACAGCTCTCTGGAAGTACGCCCCACGTAGTCAAACTTAGCGATGGCCTCGATCTGCTCCAGTTCATCATCACTGGTGTGAGGTCCTGTACCGTTGTCCACTTCATCAATGGCACCTGGACCACTCTGGGGACTGTCACTAAATGGTGTCGAGCGAGATAGAGACAATAATATACAGTAGATAGATACATACAGTACCATTGATTGATAGATTCAGATAATGACAAAGAAGGACATAGTATCGTGCTTTAGACTAAACTAGCCCAACAAGAGGGTGAAGTCATTTGAAACACAGAACTGGATCCAGTCCCCTAACCCCCTTCTCTACATTGGTTAATCTCCATCCTCTCTCCCATCCAAGCATAACCAAGGCCCAGTATACTATGACATCACTAACCAGTACTCCTCTCCTCCAGCCATGCACTTCTCATAGACCGGTCCGTCCAGCTCACGGTGGCTCGGGAAGATGACCTCGTTGTGGATGATGATGGTCTTGATGACCTCATTAACGTGCGTCTGGCAGGCCACAGGATCGTGACCATCAGGTATGGGCATCAGAGTCGGGCCGAAGCAGGTAGCCAAGTTATAGGGATCCATCATGTTCTCATCACTGTACTGGGATAGACTGGAGAGAAACAATGGGGAATTACAGTTTTCTTTTATCGCTTTGGTAATATTTTCACAAGTATGTTGTAAAATTTCACAACTTTTAGTACAAAACTCAAAAAGGCTGGTTTTTTTTTACTTTACGCACAGTTTCAATTGACTAAGTACAACACACAGTAACTTTTTCACCAAACCTAATCAGTGTTTCATCTAGAAATACCTTTCATATAAAGTCATTGCCTTTCACAATGCAATGTTCACATTACATTTCATATGATTCTCTTCTCATTTGTTTAAATACATTTGACCATCACTTAATCAAACTGCACTTAACGGTTAATCACTTAACAGTTCGGTAAACCTATAGATTTGAAACTGGTTTGTCTACTATATATGGATTTTGTGAACTACAGAAATAAAATGTGTGTTTGTAAAGTATAAACATCTAAATTACATGTATTACCCAACAAATAATATGTATCCAATGTGTAATCAAAGGTGTGATCAATGAAGACATCCTCTACAATCATTCATCAGTGCAAAAAAAACATTGTATTTTTCAGATATAATTGCAATATAATATATAATATATAATTGTAGGTGTCTGTAATCAAATGTAAGAAATTAAATTAAAGAAATTAAATGAATGAAAATAAAACATAACATTTAGTACCCATTAATTTGCATCAAGCCTGTCTTGAGCATTTCGCCATTAATTCTCATCCACATCACAGTGAATATCCTCATTGTTCATGCACTGTGGGAAAAACCCAATGGCATGGCGAATTCAAGCTTGACATTGGTCTGCATTGATGTCGTTGCATGCCTCATCCATGGCCAGAAGGAGGGTGGCACGCTCATGGGGATGGCGATAGTACACCTTCCACCTCCATGTGGAAAGAAATTCCTCAATACGGTTGAGGAAATGAGAGTATGGGGGCAGGTATAAGGTCACGAATCGGAGATGGGCCCGAAACCATGCCACCTCTGCATGGTGGAACCTGACATTGTTCCATGCAATGACATAGGTGACCCCTTCACCTTGACAGGCCTGCTCAATTTCATTGAGGAACACAATGAGGTGTGCAGCGTTGTAGGATCCAAGTAATCTTACATCCTACCACACCATCTTCAGAGATAGCTGCACACATGGAGATGTTTCCCCCAAGTTGTCCAGGCACTTGGACGGTCATCCATTGGCCGATGAGGTGCCATGGTAAGGCTTCTGTTTACCACATGGTCAACGACGATGGCCCGGACCTCATTAGACACAACAGTTCCCTGCCGTCTGCCTCCCTCTCTCTGATGTCCACCTCTTTGACCTCTTTGATGGGGCCCATGCCCACCTCTTTGACCTCTTTGATGGGGCCCATGCCCACCTCTCTGACGGGCCCCTTGTCTATGAGCTCTTTGATTTCTTCCTCTCCCTTGCTATCCTGCTCCATGTTGAAAGAAATTGCAAGTGTTCACACACACCCTTTTATATGGTGTGGTTATCACTATGTGAAATTAGCAATTACGAGGAGTCATTATGTGTGGTTATCATATATCATATCATATCAGAGAATCATATGAAATGTAATGTGAGCATTGCATTGTGAAAGGCAATGACTTTATATGAAAGATATTTCTAGATGAAACACCGATTAGGTTTGGTGAAAAAGTTACTGTGTGATTTTGTGTGTTGTACTTAGTCAATTGAAAATGTGCTTAAAGTTTAGAAAAAACTGCCTTCTTGATGATCTGTTTTGAGTTTTGTACTATGAGATGTGAAATGTTACAACATACTTGTGAAAATAGTACCAAAGCGATAAAAAAATATATAACTCAAACAAGTTTCCATAATACAGTATGTATACACTTATTAGGTTTGTTCATAAACACATACATTTTACAATGTAGACCCAACGACTGAAAATGTTTAATATCTTTTGTCTTCATTTTTCCTCATTTAATGAGGAGGACTACCCACCTCTTCCTCCCTGGATAAGCCACCTCTGAACACTATCTTTATTATTGGGTTTCTCCATAAACACATAACATGGTGTTATTACGACTTACGGATTGATGTTTAGACTTACTGATTGATATATAGACTTACTGATTGGTGTATAGACTTACTGATTTTTATTTAGACTTACTGATTGATGTATAGACATGAATATACTTACTGATTGATGTATAGACTTACTGAATGATATATAGACTTACTGATTGATGTATAGACTTACTGATTGATGTATATACTTACTGATTGATGTATAGACTTACTGACTGATGTATAGACTTACTGATTGATGTATAGACTTACTGATTGATATTTAGACTTACTGATTGATGTATAGATTTACTGATTGATGTATAGATTAACTGATTGATGAATAGACTTACTGAATGATATACAGTGGGGAGAACAAGTATTTGATACACTGCCGATTTTGCAGGTTTTCCTACTTACAAAGCATGTAGAGGTCTGTAATTATTATCATAGGTACACTTCAACTGTGAGAGATGGAATCTAAAACAAAAATCCAGAAAATCACATTGTATGATTTTTAAGTAATTAATTTGCTTTTTATTGCATGACATAAGTATTTGATACATCAGAAAAGCAGAACTTAATATTTGGTACAGAAACCTTTGTTTGCAATTACAGAGATCATACGTTTCATGTAGGTCTTGACCAGGTTTGCACACACTGCAGCAGGGATTTTGGCCCACTCCTCCATACAGACCTTCTCCAGATCCTTCAGGTTTCGGGGCTGTCGCTGGGCAATACGGACTTTCAGCTCCCTCCAAAGATTTTCTATTGGGTTCAGGTCTGGAGACTGGCTAGGCCACTCCAGGACCTTGGGATGCTTCTTACGGAGCCACTCCTTAGTTGCCCTGGCTGTGTGTTTCGGGTCGTTGTCATGCTGGAAGACCCAGCCATGACCCATCTTCAATGCTCTTACTGAGGGAAGGAGGTTGTTGGCCAAGATCTTGCGATACATGGCCCCTTCCATCCTCCCCTCAATATGGTGCAGTCGTCCTGTCCCCTTTGCAGAAAAGCATCCCCAAATAATTATTTTTCCACCTCCATGCTTCACGGTTGGGATGGTGTTCTTGGGGTTGTACTCATCCTTCTTCTTCCTCCAAACACGGCGAGTGGAGTTTAGACCAAAAAGCTATATTTCTGTCTCATCAGACCACATGACCTTCTCCCATTCCTCCTCTGGATCATCCAGATGGTCATTGGCAAAGTTCAGACGGGCCTGGACATGCGCTGGCTTGAGCAGGTGGACCTTGCGTGCGCTGCAGGATTTTAATCCATGACGGCGTAGTGTGTTACTAATGGTTTTCTTTGAGACTGTGGTCCCAGCTCTCTTCAGGTCATTGACCAGGTCCTGCCGTGTAGTTCTGGGCTGATCCCTCACCTTCCTCATGATCATTGATGCCCCACGAGGTGAGATCTTGCATGGAGCCCCAGACCGAGGGTGATTGACCGTCATCTTGAACTTCTTCCATTTTCTAATAATTGCGCCAACAGTTGTTGCCTTCTCACCAAGCTGCTTGCCTATTGTCCTGTAGCCCATCCCAGCCTTGTGCAGGTCTACAATTTTAACCCTGATATCCTTACACAGCGCTCTGGTCTTGGCCATTGTGGAGAGGTTGGAGTCTGTTTGATTGAGTGTGTGGACAGGTGTCTTTTATACAGGTAACGAGTTCAAACAGGTGCAGTTAATACAGGTAATGAGTGGAGAACAGGAGGGCTTCTTAAAGAAAAACTAACAGGTCTATGAGAGCCGGAATTCTTACTGGTTGGTAGGTGATCAAATACTTATGTCATGCAATAAAATGCAAATGAATTACTTAAAAACCATACAATGTGATTTTCTGGATTTTTGTTTTAGATTCCGTCTCTCACAGTTGAAGTATACCTATGATAAAAATGACAGACATCTACATGCTTTGTAAGTAGGAAAACCTGCAAAATCGGCAGTGTATCAAATACTTGTTCTCCCCACTGTATATACTTACTGATTGATGTATAGACTTACTGATTGATGTATATACTTACTGATTGATGTATAGACTTACTGATTGATGTATAGACTTACGGATTGATGTATAGACTTACGGATTGATGTATATACTTACTGATTGATATAGACTTACTGATTGATACAGTGAGGGGAAAAAGTATTTGATCCCCTGCTGATTTTGTACGTTTGCCCACTGACAAAGAAATGATCAGTCTATAATTTTAATTTTATTTGAACAGTGAGACAGAATAACAACAAAAAAATCCAGAAAAACGTATGTAAAAAATGTTATAAATTGATTTGCATTTTAAATGGAGGGAAATAAATATTTGACCCCCTCTCAATCAGAAAGATTTCTGGCTCCCAGGTGTCTTTTATACAGGTAACGAGCTGAGATTAGGAGCACACTCTTAAAGGGAGTGCTCCTAATCTCAGCTTGTTACCTGTATAAAAGACACCTGTCCACAGAAGCAATCAATCAATCAGATTCCAAACTCTCCACCATGGCCAAGACCAAAGAGCTCTCCAAGGATGTCAGGGACAAGATTGTAGACCTACACAAGGCTGGAATGGGCTACAAGACCATCGCCAAGCAGCTTGGTGAGAAGGTGACAACAGTTGGTGCGATTATTCGCAAATGGAAGAAACACAAAAGAACTGTCAATCTCCCTCGGCCTGGGGCTCCATGCAAGATCTCACCGCGTGGAGTTGCAATGATCATGAGAACAGTGAGGAATCAGCCCAGAACTACACGGGAGGATCTTGTCAATGATCTCAAGGCAGGTGGGACCATAGTCACTAAGAAAACAATTGGTAACACACTACGCCGTGAAGGACTGAAATCCTGCAGCGCCCGCAAGGTCCCCCTGCTCAAGAAACCACATATACAGGCCCGTCTGAAGTTTGCCAATGAACATCTGAATGATTCAGAGGAGAACTGGGTGAAAGTGTTGTGGTCAGATGAGACCAAAATCGAGCTCTTTGGCATCAACTCAACTCGCCGTGTTTGGAGGAGGAGGAATGCTGCCTATGACCTCAAGAACACCATCCCCACCGTCAAACATGGAGGTGGAAACATTATGATTTGGGGGTGTTTTTCTGCTAAGGGGACAGGACAACTTCACCGCATCAAAGGGACGACGGACGGGGCCAATGACCGTCAAATCTTGGGTGATGTCACGATCGTTTAAAGACTGGTCGTGGAACCAAGGCGCAGCGTGATAAGCGTACATTTTTTAAAGTACTTAACACCCGACAAAACAACAAACAAACGAAACGTGAAGTCCTAGGTTACACAAAACAAACCTTAACGGAACAAGATCCCACACCGACTAGTGCCAAACAGGCTGCCTAAGTATGGTCCCCAATCAGAGACAACGAGATACAGCTGCCTCTGATTGGGAACCAACCTGGCCAACATAGATCCACACGATCTAGAAAACACAACATAGAAAATACAACATAGAAACTACACACCCTGGCTCAACATTTAAGAGTCCCCAGAGCCAGGGCGTGACAGTACCCCCCCCCCCCCCCCAAAGGCGCGGACTGCGACCGCGCCACACAAACACAACAGAGTAGGGGCCGGGTGGGCATTCCGCCTCGGAGCTGGATCCGGCTCCGGGCGTGACCACCACTTTCTCTCCACCTCCCCGTTGCGCCCCTGGTCTGGTCTGGCACCGCTGACTGGAGCTCGACCCGACGACGGTGGATCGATCTGTACAGGCTCCGGACTGGAGCCGCTGGCCGGAGCTGGACTGGGCACCGGTGGAGCGGATTGCTCTGGCTCCGGAGTGGATCCGCTGACAGGAGTTGGACCGGACCCCGGTGGAGCGGATTGCTCTGGCTCCGGAGTGGAGCAGCTGACCGGTGCCGGACCAGGCACCGGTGGAACAGGCACGGGCCGTGCCGGACTGGACACACGCACCACTGGCTTGGTGCGGGGAGCAGGAGCGGGCCGGACCGGGCTGACGACGCGCACCACTGGCTTGGTGCGGGGAGCAGGAGCGGGCCGGACCGGGCTGACGACGCGCACCACTGGCTTGGTGCGGGGAGCAGGAACGGGCCGCACCGGGCTGACGACGCGCACCACTGGCTTGGTGCGGGGAGCAGGAACGGGTCGGACCGGGCTGACGACGCGCACCACTGGCTTGGTGCGGGGAGCAGGAACGGGCCGGACCGGGCTGACGACGCGCACCACAGGCTTGGTGCGAGGGACAGGAACAGGCCGGGCTGGACTGGGAACATGCACCACTGGCTTGGTGCAGGGAGCAGGAACAGGCCGGGCTGGACTGGGAACACGCAACACTGGCTTGGTGCGGGGAGCCGGAACGGGCCGGGCCGGACTGTGGAGGCGGACTGGAGGTCTGGAGCAAAGAGCTGACAAAACCCGTCCTGGCTGAATGCCTACTTCCACACAATACGTGTGAGGCATCAGCACAGGACGTACGGGGCTGTGCACTCGTACTGGCGCTACAGCACGTGGCACTGGCGCAGGATATACGGGACCGAGGAGGCGTACTGGAGACCACGAGCGTTGAGCCGGCACACCCCGTCCTGGCTGAATGCCCATCTTTGCACGACACGTGCGTGGTGCTAGCACAGGACGTACAGGACTGTGCCGGAACACTCGCGGCACAGTACGTGGCTCCGCATAACAAGGAGCCTGCCCAGTCACACGCTTCCTAGCCTGAGTACGGGGAGTTGGCTCTGCTCTAACCCTAGTCTCCGCCAACCACACTTTTAGCCCCCCCCCCCCAACATTTTCTTGGGGCTGTCTCTCGGGCTTCCTCCTCGGCCGGTACCCTCTGCGTTGCCGCTGCTCCTCTCTATAGCGCGCCTCCACAGTCTCCTCCCAAGGACGGCGATCCATTCCGGCCTGAATCTCCTCCCAAGTCCAGGATCCCTTCCCGTCCAGGATCTCCTCCCAGGTCCAGGCTGTCTGTTCCTGGACACGCTGCTTGGTCCTCTTTTGGTGGGATCTTCTGTCACGATCGTTTAAAGACTGGTCGTGGAACCAAGGCGCAGCGTGATAAGCGTACATTTTTTAAAGTACTTAACACCCGACAAAACAACAAACAAACGAACAAAACGTGAAGTCCTAGGTTACACAAAACAAACCTTAACGGAACAAGATCCCACACCGACTAGTGCCAAACAGGCTGCCTAAGTATGGTCCCCAATCAGAGACAACGAGATACAGCTGCCTCTGATTGGGAACCACCCTGGCCAACATAGATCCACACGATCTAGAAAACACAACATAGAAAATACAACATAGAAACTACACACCCTGGCTCAACATTTAAGACTCCCCAGAGCCAGGGCGTGACAGGTGAGAACCTCCTTCCCTCAGCCAGGGCATTGAAAATGGGTCGTGGATGGGTATTCCAGCATGACAATGACCCAAAACACACGGCCAAGGCAACAAAGGAGTGGCTCAAGCCAGTCTCCAGACCTTAATCCTATAGAAAATCTGTGGAGGGAGCTGAAGGTTCAAGTTGCCAAACGTCAGCCTCGAAACCTTAATGACTTGGAGAAGATCTGCAAAGAGGAGTGGGACAAAATCCCTCCTGAGATGTGTGCAAACCTGGTGGCCAACTACAAGAAACGTCTGACCTCTGTGATTGCCAACAAGGGTTTTGCCACCAAGTACTAAGTCATGTTTTGCAGAGGGGTCAAATACTTATTTCCCTCATTAAAATGCAAATCAATTCATAACATTTTTGACATGCGTTTTTCTGGATTTTGTTGTTGTTATTCTGTCTCTCACTGTTCAAATAAACCTATCATTCAAATTATAGACTGATCATGTCTTTGTCAGTGGGCAAACGTACAAAATCAGCAGGGGATCAAATACTTTTTTCCCTCACTGTATATAGACTTGCTGATTGATGTATAGACTTACCGATTGATGTATAGACTTACTGATTGATGTATAGACTTACTGAATGATATATACTTACTGATTGATATATAGACTTACTGATTGATATATAGACTTACTGGTTGAGGAATGCAAACAGATATCTCATGACGATGATGACGGGGTGAGAAAGAGTTACAACGATCTGCTGAAGGTGATGAGCTCTCTCTGCACCAGAGTCTAGTTCTGAGAGAGAGAGAGAGAAAGGGGGAGAGAGGGATACAATCATTTCGATGTATACAATATGAAATGTATATCTACTTTACTATAGTAAACATATTTACTATATAAATCCAATCAATTATTAAATAAATTACTAATCTCAACCAGGGGTGGGCAAACTACGGCCCGCGGGAGGTTTAAGTTAAAAACATTTTGTTGGGGGTTAAAAAACACTCCAGGCCACTCTTGAACGTCTAAAAACTAGATAGAAAGTATGTAGAAATTATAATGCACCTATATATTTTCAAATAACTGCCCTTTTTCTGGCCAGCAAATAGATTATGACATACGAATCGGTCCCAAACAAATCTGGACGGCCATCCATTTAATTTTAAAATCCCAATGTGGCCCTTGAGCCAAAAAGTTTGCCCACCCCTGATCTAAATCCTGCATCCTCCCCAGTGGAGTACAGTAGTCCAGTCCTTACTGATGGTGGCTATTAGGTCATAGTACATTAGTAGTACAGTAGTACTTACTGATGGTAGACATGAGGTCGAGGAAGTGTTCCTTGGGGAACAGTGGGTTCTCTAGCCCCCTGAAGTACAGCTTCAGAACCCCTGCCACCGCCATGATGTCATGGTCACTCTGGTCGTCCACCAATGGGTCCTCACCTAGGGGCATCACATGATACGGCACAGAGTCACACAAGCGGTCAATCATCCAGTCACACTGCTTTAAGCTTGCTGGATATTCAACTGTGAAGTCATGCTGAAAAAGTACATCTGTAAATCTGTGAATGTACATCTGCTTTGTAAACTGTGTAAGCTTGTAAGAACACAGTCAGCCGTCATTTAATACAATATAACACCTCATTAACTAGTCTGTAGGAAAACATTTGCCTAAGCTTTCTCTATAAACACATTAGTTAGCTGACAAAAATAACAAATATATATTTGTACGTTAGTCACTACAGTATTTTCATCCAACTATAGCATTCCTGTTAAGAATGTGGTAGGTACTGCTGCTGTACATCTCAAATAGCTTGGCCATTACAATGTCATACATGATCCATGTGCTCTCTATGTATCTATCTGCACTTTACAGTCCTAGAGGGAAGGTCTGTGGCATTCTGAGGCAGACTAAATACAATTTAAAAAACGATCAGGCAGGATATGGGCAGCCGCGCTGGGGCCTCGCTGGGACCGACCTCTCTCAAATGAATTTTTTATATCGTTGACTTCGACCTGGGAGCCGGGAATCCTGAATATGCCTTGCTGCTGAAGGCCTGTTGGAGCAGAGAACCCCAAGTCAGCATTAAGATGGAAACATATCCGGTAACACACACGCAGGCAGGCACGCATACAGAGACAAACAGACACGGACACACACATACACAGACAAACACACACTAAACTGAAACTTGAGTGTAGTATATCCACAGCCCAAACAGCCCAAACAGCAGTAAAATAATCTCTGTCTGTTCACTACATGGTAGTTTCAATATTCAATATTCCAAGATCAGAAACTACATCACAGAGATCCAAAATGGACGCTATACAGTAGTATATTCAACTATATGGACTACATACAGTATCTATCAATTCATTCCTGTGTTCCTCTTACCGTATAGATTGATGTAGCGGACACAGCTCTCAACCACCACTGGTATAGCCTGCCCTGAGTCCTGAGAGAGAGAGAGAGGCAGCGAGAGAGGGAGGGAGGGAGGGAGAGAGAGGGAGAGAGAGAGAGGGATTGAGAGGGAGAGAGGCGTAAGGTGACTCTAAGGTGATGAGTGTGAACACAGCACATTAATAAATTAATGATCTGTCTATGCACACAGAATGAATAACGTATAATCATGGCAACTGTAAGTACATCAACTATCATAAAGATACAATAAGACTATGTGCTCTCTTTAATTCTGTGTAAAATGAGTCGATTAACAAACTAATTGCATGAATAATGACCAAAGATAAATTCATACGCTAAATATTAACTGAAAGACTTTCAACTCTCTGACTGAGCATGCACATATGGTCCGCAGAGGGCATCAGAGATTGTGGTGTTCTTCTCACAAGGTTACCACCATAGTCATTAACATGCTGTACACTGAGTGTACAAAACATTAGGAACACCTGCTCTTTCCATGACATAGACTGACCAGATTAATCCAGGTGAACGCTATGATGCCTTATTGATGTCACTTGTTAAATTCACTTCAATCAGTGTAGATGAAGGGGAGGAGACAGGTTAAAGAAGGATTTTTAAGCCTTGAGACAATCGAGACATGGATTGTGTATGTGTGCCATTCAGAGGCTGAATGGGCAAGACAAAATATATAAGTGCCTTTGTTACGGATACAGGTATCCTGTATGTGTTTTTGTGCTTTTCCTCTCCTTCTGCCCTAATCACAGGTGTCCTTTGTGTTCCTTTTGGAGGTCGTTGGTGTGTCCCACCTGTCAGTCATCAGTTAATCTGCTGATTGCTGAAGTGGACCAATCAGTGGACATTTCTCCTGATTGCACCACCTGTTTCTGTTTTCTTACCCAGTCATATCACACATCCCCTTGTGTTAAAAGCTAGTCAGTTGTGTTTGCTGACAGAGACTCTTTTTGTTTGTGAGTATGTATACCTTACCACTGACCTTACATTACCAGTGTAGTCATGAAGTGATGCTATTGGATACTATTGGGGTGCTCAATGTTTGTTGACATGTGAAGTTGCTTAAAGGGAAACTTTGATATTTTGGAAATGAAGCCCTTTATCTACTTCCCCAGAGTCAGATGAACTTGTGGATACCATTCTGTCCTGTACAATGGTCGTCGGGTAAGCTTGGCTTTATACATAGCTTGGGCTTTGTCGAGTAAGGCTTAAACTATGTATTTAGATTGTAGTTAGGTATTGTAGGTAGTTATCGTGGGTTGTTGTATGTAATTATTGTAGGTTAGTATTGTATTCGGCTGTGCCGGGTGTAGCACGAAGCTAGCTAGCTAACCCACCACCTGGACTAGCTGGCGAGTAGCTATTAGCAACGGTATAGTTGTTTCACGCCTGAGAGTGCCTGTAATTACGCCAGCTGGCTGCCTACAATAATTGCCTACCATTCAGCTGTTTTCTAACCTCATTGTCTGAACCGTTAACGTTAGGTAGCAAGTGGCTACTGTAATTGAAATGTAGCTAGCTTGTTGCTACCTGGATAGCTACTAGTAAACAATAGCTGGAACGACCGAGCGAACAGACGCGAACTGGCTGAGTCAATTCAGTGGCTAGCTTTGCACTTGGCTAGCTAACAGTTTGCTGCTAGGGGTAAGTCATAACCTACATTTGTGTTTTTTTTTTTTTACATATTGATAGCCCGAGTCGTTCAAGGAACTCGGGACATGGGTGACTAGTTAACGTTAGTTTGGCTCTCTCTGTGTGTTCGTGCCGTGAAAGGAGGGGTTCTTCTTTGTCTGAAAGCAATGGCTAGCTAGTTTGCTAACTATTCTAGCTAACGAACTGGCTGAATAAGTTGACGACGGACTCGCTCAAGCTGTCGGGACTAACCCACAACGTTAGATACGGACACGAACGATCTGCTTGCGTGTTGATACACTGGTGGTTTGTTGTGGCCGGCATGCTAGCTGGCTGTGGCGTCTTATGACGAGGTGCCCGGACGATTTTCACGGAATAATACTGCACCTAGTTAGCTAGCTGAATAAACTAAGTTAGTCTATTCCTAGAAAACATTGAACCGCTGTAGTTTACAACAATTATAGTTTCTGAGGTGGAAGTTGGGAGAGTTATATTTGGGGGTTGTGGTGAGGGAGGCCCCGCTCTCTCCTTTCCCAGATGTTTAGTTCATTTCATTCCGATCTCCTCTGCATTATTGTAGCCATCTGCTGCATCCTGTCAACTATGCCTCTGCCTATCCCTGTTCTCTCCTCTCCGCACAGGCTACACAAATGCCTCACACCGCATGGCTGCTGCCTCTCTAACCTGGTGGTCCCTGCACGCACCTCCCACGTGGAGTTCCAGGTCACAGGCAGCCTCTGGAACTGCTGTTCTGCTGCCAACAAGGCAGAGTTCATCTCAGCCTATGCTACCCTCCAGTCCCTCGACTTCTTGGCGCTGACGGAAACATGGATTACCACTGAAAACACTGCTACTCCTGCTGCTCTCTCCTCGTCTGACCATGTGTTCTCGCATACCCCGAGAGCATCTGGTCAGCGGGGTGGTGGCACAGGAATCCTCATCTCTCCCAAGTGGACATTCTCAATTTTTCCCCTGACCCATCTGTCTATCTCCTCATTTGAATTCCATGCTGTCACTAGCCCATTTAAGCTTAATATCCTTGTCATCTATCGCCCTCCAGGTTCCCTTGGAGAGTTCATCAATGAGCTTGACGCCATGATAAGTTCCTTTCCTGAGGATGGCTCACCCCTCACAGTTCTGGGGGATTTCAACCTCCCTACGTCTACATTTGACTCATTTCTCTCTGCCTCCTTCTTTCCACTCCTCTCCTCTTTTGACCTCACCCTCTCCCCCTACTCACAAGGCAGGCAATACGCTTGACCTAATCTTTACTAGATGCTGTTCTACTAATCTCACTGCAACTCCCCTCCAAGTGTCCGACCACTACTTTGTATCCTTTTCTCTCTCCCTCTCCTCCAACACTAATCACTCTGCCCCTACACAGATGGTAATGCGCCGTCGCAACCTTCGCTCTCTCTCCCGCTACTCTCTCCTCTTCCATCCTATCATCTCTTCCCTCTGCTCAATCCTTCTCCCTCCAATCTCCTGATTCTGCCTCCTCAACCCTCCTCTCCTCCCTTTCTGCATCCTTTGACTCTATGTCCCCTATCCTCCCGGCCGGCTCGGTCCACCCCTCCAGCTCCGTGGCTTGATGACTCATTGCGAGCTCACAGAACAGAGCTCCGGGCAGCTGAGCGGAAATGGATGAAAACTAGACTCCCTGCGGACCTGGCATCTTTTCACTCCCTCCTCTCTACATTTTCTTCATCTGTTTCTGCTGCTAAGGCCACTTTCTACCACTCTAAATTCCAAGCATCTGCCTCTAACCCTAGGAAGCTCTTTGCCACATTCTCCTCCCTGCTGAATCCCCCCCCCCCCCCCCCCCCCCATCCTCCCTCTCTGTGGATGACTTCGTCAACCATTTTGAAAAGAAGGTTGACAACATCCGATCCTCGTTTGTTAAGTCAAATGACACTGCTGGTCCTGCTCACACTGCCCTACCCTATGCTTTGACTTCTTTCTCCCCTCTCTCTCCAGATAAAAACTTGTGACGGCAGGCCGCCCAACAACCTGCCCACTTGACCCTATTCCCTCTCTTCTCCAGACCATCTCCTGTGATCTTCTCACTGATCTACTCATCCTTGACCGCTGGCTATGTCCCTTCCGTCTTCAAGAGAGCGAGAGTTGCACCCCTTCTCAAAAAACCAACACTCGATCCCTCTGATGTCAACAACTACAGACCAGTATCCCTTCTCTTTTCTCTCCAAAACTATTGAGCGTGCCGTCTTTAGCCAACTCTCTTGCTATCTCTCTCAGAATGACCTTCTTGATCCAAACCAGTCAGGTTTCAAGACTGGTCATTCAACTGAGACTGCTCTTCTCTGTGTCACAGAGGCTCTCCGCACTGCTAAAGCTAACTCTCTCTCCTCTGCTCTTGTCCTTCTAGACCTGTCTGCTGCCTTTGATACTGACTGTGAACCATCAGATCCTCCTCTCCACCCTCTCCGAGCTGGGCATCTCCGGCGCGGCTCACTCTTGGATTGCGTCCTACCTGACCGGTCGCTCCTACCAAGTGGCGTGGCGAGAAGCTGTCTCCGCACCACGTGCTCTCACCACTGGTGTCCCCCTAGGGCTCAGTTCTAGGCCCTCTCCTATTCTCGCTATACACCAAGTCACTTGGCTCTGTCATATCCTCACATGGCCTCTCCTATCATTGCTACGCTGACGACACACAACTAATCTTCTCCTTTCCCCCTTCTGATAACCAGGTGGCGAATCGCATCTCTGCATGTCTGGCAGACATATCAGTATGGATGATGGATCACCACCTCAAGCTGAACCTTGGCAAGACGGAGCTGCTCTTCCTCCCGGGGAAGGACTGCCTGTTCCATGATCTCGCCATCACGGTTGACAACTCCGTTGTGTCCTCCTCCCAGAGTGCGAAGAGCCTTGGCGTGACCCTGGACAACACCCTGTTGTTCTCCGCTAACATCAAGGCGGTGACCCGATCCTGTAGGTTCATGCTCTACAACATTCGGAGAGTACGACCCTGCCTTACACAGGAAGCGGCACAGGTCCTAATCCAGGCACTTGTCATCTCCCGTCTGGATTACTGCAACTCGCTGTTGGCTGGGCTCCCTGCCTGTGCCATTAAACCCCTACAACTCATCCAGAATGCCGCAGCCCGTCTGGTGTTCAACCTTCCCAAGTTCTCTCACGTCACCCCGCTCCTCCGCACACTCCACTGGCTTCCAGTTGAAGCTCGCATCTGCTACAAGACCATGGTGCTTGCCTACGGAGCTGTGAGGGGAACGGCACCTCCGTACCTTCAGGCTCTGATCAGTCCCTACACCCAAACGAGGGCATTGCGTTCATCCACCTCTGGCCTGCTGGCTCCCCTACCTCTGCGGAAGCATAGTTCCCGCTCAGCCCAGTCAAAACTGTTCGCTGCTCTGGCACCCCAATGGTGGAACAAGCTCCCTCACGACGCCAGGACAGCGGAGTCACTCACCACCTTCCGGAGACATTTGAAACCCCACCTCTTTAAGGAATACCTGGGATAGGATAAAGTAATCCTTCTACCCCCCCCCCCCCCCCCCCCAAAAAAATAATAATAAAAAATAAATTGTAAAGTGGTTATCCCACTGGCTATAAGGTGAATGCACTTATTTGTAAGTCGCTCTGTATAAGAGCGTCTGCTAAATGACGTAAATGTATACGGTGGTGTCTTGTTTTTGTGTACTCACTCGTTAACTGTTTAGTCCGTATGGTACCTATATTGTTTGTTTGTGCCTGGGAAAAGGGGGATTTAGCAAGTTGCCCTTGGGCATACACTACCCGTAGTAAAACCTTGTCTAAACACACTAGTTAGACCTGAGTGGACCACCTACTGTATTTTTGTATGGTTAGCAGTAAGCTTAGTAGTTCTTGAGGCAGGCAAGATCAGTTTAGGGTTTTTTGACTTTATTGTTTCATTCCTTGGGTCCAGCTCAGCCCCTCTTCCCCAAACCATTTACCGTGTGTTTTATAATAAACATTTTGTGTTTGACGGTAGCATTTGTTTGTTGGCGTATTTGTTCTCACTGTTCCTTGGCAATAGCCTAATTTGCATGAGTTATGTTACAGGCCTCTTTTCCATCCACCCTAGACTTTTAAAGCCACGGGGTTCGTAACAGCCTTTGAACGGGGTATGGTAGTAGGTGCTAGGCGCACCGGTATGAGTGTGTCAAGAACTGCAAAGCTGCTGGGGTTTTCACACTGAACAGTTTCCCATGTGTATCAAGAATGGTCTACCACCCAAAGGACATCCAGCCAACTTGACACAACTGTGGGAAGCATTGGGCCAGCATCCCTGTGGAATGCTTTTGACACCTTGAAGAGTCCATGCCCCAACGAATTGAGGCTGTTCTCAGGACAAAAGGGGGGAGTGCAACTCAATATTAAGGTGTTCCTAATGTTCTGTACAGTCAGTGTATATTCATATATACATTATTAATTGGTTATCACATGATAAAGGACAGAGGGACCAGGCAGGCAGAGAGATGTTGTTTAGTTAGTGTACACATATTCACCCCTAGCGTGATTCTTAGATCTGTTGGTGCTGTCTTACCAACTCCTATGGTCATTGGCAGAGAGCACAAACACATCTGGGACCAGGCTACTCTTCACCCCCTCTATGACAGAATAACCAGAATACCTGGCTGCGGGCGCGGGTATTCCGTCTTCCCCTGGGGCAGGCAGAAAGCAGTGGCAGCAGCAGGATGAACAGAACAGAGAGGCAAGAAGAACCACAACAAGGTTAGAGAAGCACAGGACCTCTAGAGGGAGGGGGTCAGAGGTCAAGCCTGCGAGAAGAGCCAGAGTATGGGACGGGGGAGACCCAAGCTTGGGTAGGATGGGGCTGGTGGAGGGGGTGGGTTGGGGGTTCTGGTGAAGGCTAGGACGATGGGCCTGGGACTGTGGACGACTGGCAGGAGAGGCTCAGTTTTTACACCATGGTTGACTGGGGCAATTTTATTATCTCTGAGGAGACGTCACTTGGAGACACTAGGACCATGACAGTCTGACACTAACAGCCCCAGTGGACTCCACTGCTGTGTACACACTCTTTCTGTCAGTGTACCAGTGTTGGATCCTGACTTACGCAGAGGATATGGCCCTGTGTGTTTATTTTCATAGCCTGACATGTTTAGTGCTGTGCCAACTGGCCCGTCGCCAAAATGTGTTTAACGTCTAGAGTTCAGGGTTCAAGTGCTATAACATGGGCAGGAATGTCATAAGCAAACCCCACACGACCAGAGTCTGTCTACGTTTGGTACTTAAACAAACTTGAAACTTAGTTTTGTAGAATTGACTCTTCAATCCAGACCAGAGAGACAAACACTACCTTTCCCAGCTGTCAAGCCAATGGACTGCCAAGTCTGAGAATTCCCTATAGGAGTGAATGGAGAGGAATCTCAGTCATTTAGTCTATTTATTTATAAAGTCATTGTGCCCAGCACAGGGCCATGAAGGAAGGGAAAGTCAGTGAGCTAAGCTGAAGTTGGAGTGAGACGAGAGAGCAGTCATAGACAGGACAGAGAGGTAGAACCCCTAGAGCTGCTGGTAGAGATAGCTGACATATAGACACTAACACACAGAGAGAAACCACATAGGGGCCAGTCAGTACCTTGATGAAGGTCTCCATATTGCCGTTAAAGAGTTTATGATTAAAAACAGAGCAAGGTCTAGGCTTCCGCATTCTCCTGGGTTTAGGGGGAAGAGTGGGGGGGCTGATGGTAGAATAGGAGGTTGGGGTAGGGGGTGCAGATACACATGAACTATGATGAAAAACAACAAGGACTGAAACATGTATTTCATACTGTATAGTCAGTGGGATAATGTTTTTCTAGATATATGCAGAGCCACTATATACAGTGCATGGCTCTAGATAGCTGTGTATGTCCTATTCCTTCCCCTCCTCTCACAGTACAAACCATAACATTATTTTAACACACAAGTGGAGTCACTGAGCAGAGGAAGTATGCTTTGACTTTTATCACAGCTGTTTCAGCTAAACCCTGGATAACCTGACTATAATGACTATGTGCAACTTATCAAATAAATCAGTTCATAAAAACATGATTACATTCAAAGCACATGAGTAATGACACAGAGAATTCAATATAAATACTGTAACAGGCCTGTGAGCTGAGAGGAGATATCAAAACCTAATGGCTCTACTACTACTCATTCTTCTCCACTCGCTGATTTCTGACTAGCGTAATGTCTGTGGTTAATATACAGTACTGTTCTGATTAACAGATACCTGTACTATACTGTAGTGTTTAACAAGGCTCCTTATGGCCACTGTAGTGACTGATGGGTGACAGATGGTCTTACAGCCAGCTCATCTCCCCATAGCTGCTTCATTGCAAACTCCAGTTTGCTCAGAATTATGTTTATTCATCAACAGACAGACCACATCCCCTTTCCCTATTTGGAATTCCACCCCTGACTTTCCAGAGAGGCTCAGGACCAAACTGCTATTCACTTTAACATGACGTCATCTCTGCTATTTCCCAGAAAACAGGAAGGATTTGACACGCTTTTCTTCCTCCTCTTTTCACCCTCGTTTCTTACCGTGTCGTTCCATATTCAGCCCTTTCCCCTAAAAGAAAGGAGGGAAGAAATGGAGAGAGAGAGAGGGGGAGAAATAGAGAGAGAGAAAATTAGTGTGTATGTGTGTGTGTGCATGCTTGCGTGCACGTGTCTGTGAGAGAGAGAAAAGACAATGCTTGAATGGCACGGTTGAGTGCATTCTGAGCCAGACCTGGTTGTCTACAGAGCTGGCAGATGGGGCACACAGAAGCGGGGGCGACGGATGAAGGGCATTATGAGAACACGGGCACCTATTCAGACGGACTCAATGGTGCGGGCGCCATGACCACATACAGCCAGCCAGGCAGCGGTCATTCAGCGGTCGCCCTAGAAACCGTAGATAGAGTGCCGGAGGGGGCGAACCCTGCCAACTCAGAGCGGAATGTCAATGAAAGCTAGCTTATCCAGGGACAAAGGGGAAGGAGGAGGGAAGGTTGAGTGTGAGGAAGGCTGCATTTGGCTGCATTGGGTTTGTGCAATATAGTAGTAACTGTTACAGTAATAATATACTGTAACACGATACACCATATATACAAAAGTATGTGGACACCCCTTCAAATTAGTGGATTTGGCTATTTCAGCTACACCTGTTGCTGACAGGTGTATACAATTGAACACACAGCCATGCAATCTCCATAGACAAAAATTGACAGTAGAATGGCCTTACTGAAGAGCTCAGTGACTTTCAACGTGGCACCGTCATAGGATGCCACCTTTCCAACAAGTCTGTTCGTCAAATGTCTGCCCTGCTAGAGATGCTCTGGTCAACTGTAAGTGCTGTTATTGTGAAGTGGAACATCTAGGAGCAACAACGGCTCAGCCACGAAGTGGTGGGCCACACAAGCTCACAGAACGGGACCACCAAGTGCTGAAGCGTGCAGCACGTAAACATTGTCTGTCCTCGGTTGCAACACTCACTACCGAGTTCCAAACTGCCTCTGGAAGCAACGTCAGCACAAGAACTGTTAGTCGGGAGCTTCATGAAATGGGTTTCCATGGCCCAGCAGCCACACACAAGCCTAAGATCACCATGTGCAATGCCAAGCGTCGGCTGGAGTGGTGTAAAGGTCGCCGCCATTGGACTGTGGAGCAGTGGAAATGCGTTCTCTGGAGTGATGAATCATACTTCGGACGAATCTGGGTTTGGCGGATGCCCGGAGAATGCTACCTGCCCCAATGCATAGTGCCAACTTTAAAGTTTGGTGGAGGAGGAATAATGTTCTGGGGTTGTTTTTCATGGTTCGGGCTAGGCCCCTTAGTTCCAGTGAAGGGAAATCGTAACGCTACTGCATACAATGACATTCTAGACGATTCTGTGCTTCCAACTTTGTGGCAACAGTTTGGGGGAAGGCCCTTTCATGTTTCAGCATGCAGAAAGCGAGGTCCATACAGAAATGGTTTATCGAGATCGGTGTGGAAGAACTTGACTGGCCTGCACAGAGCTCTGACCTCAACTCCATCGAACACCTTTGGGATGAATTGGAACGCCGACTGCGAGCCAGGCCTAATCGCCCAACATCAGTGCCCGACCTCACCAATGCTCTTGTGGCTGAATGGAAGCAAGTCCTGGAGCAATGTTCCAACATCTAGTGGAAAACCTTCACAGAAGAGTGGAGGCTCTTATAGCAGTAAAGGGGGGACCAACTCCATATTAATGCACATGATTTTGGAATGAGATGTTCGACGAGCAGATGTCCACATGCTTTTGGTCATGTAGCGTATGTCATCTAGTTATGGTAACAGGGGGGTTGCATTAGGGGCTTGTACACTACAGAAGAAACAAGAATACAAGAATACAAGATTACATTATATCCCCTGATAACAATATTTGATCAGTGCCTCGAATGGTTGAATTCAGGGACCATGTCATGTCTAATAAAACAGCTTCCAGCACAAACCCTCTGTCTGTCTGTCTGTCTGACCAACCACAACTAATCCCTGGAAATACTGTCGCCAGCTGGTTGGCTGCTGCTGGACAATCAAATAGGTTTCTCAAAGAAATATGGCTAAAGATACAATATGGTTTATTACTGGTGGTTGATATGGCAGTTAAGTTGCCCACTATTTAACAACACAATTTCACAACAATGTTTGAACCATACGAAGACTACAATTGGTAAGCTGCTGCTAGTGATAAAGGGAAGGTAATGACTATATGAATGGCATTGTGCTCCAGTAGTGACACAACAACTTTGTCACCATGTGAAGAAGTGTTCTCACCTTCTCCCAGAGTCTGCTTCAGTAGGTCATACTTGGCCTGTAGTTTCACTATAAGGTTGCTGCCATTCAGGTACTCTTTGAATTTCTATACAGGGCAAAAGAAAAGTATAAAATATGACATTTAGAGGACACTTTGATCCAAAGCTACTTACAGTGCCGTCAAAATGTATTCACACCCTTTAATTTTTCCACATTTTGTTGTGTGACAGCTTGAATATAAAATTGATTACATTTAGATTTTGTATCACTGATCTACACATAATACCCCATAATGTCAGTGTCAAAGTACAAATTAATAAAAAATGAAAAGCTGAAATGTCTTCAGTCAAGAAGTATTCAACCCTTTTGTTATGGCAAACCTAAATAAGTTTAGGAGTAAACATTTGCTTAACAAATCACATAATAAATTGCATGGACTCACTCTGTGTGCAATAATAGTGGTTAACAGGATTTTTTTATGACTACCTCATCTCTGTAACCCACACAAACAATTATCTGTAAGGTCCCTCAGTCGAGTAGTGATTTTCAAACACAGATTCAATGTCACGAACATTGAGAGACGGGTCAGACCAAGGTGCAGCGTGAAAAGCGTAAATGTTTATTAAACTCAATAAACATAAACAAAACAAGAAACAACGTAACGTGAAGTCATCAGGCTATACACATACAAGCCTAACACGGAACAATATCCCACAACTAAGGTAGGCAAACAGGCTACTTAAGTATGATCCCCAATCAGAGACAACGAGCGACAGCTGTCTCTGATTGGGAATCACACCCGGCCAAACATAGAAATACAATACCTAGAACATAAACATAGAATTTCTAGCATAGATTCTCACGCCCTGACCAAACCAACTAAAGACGACCGCCAGGCCAGGGCGTGACAGTACCCCCCCCCCCCCCCCCCCAAAGGTGCGTACTCCGGCCGCATCAACCTGACTCATTAGGGGAGGGTCCGGGTGGGCATTCAGCCTTGGAGGCGGATCCAGCTCCGGGCGTGACAACCTCTCCCTCTCTGCCTCCCCGTTGCGCCCCTGGTCTGGTCTGGACCTCGGCGCGATGCTTTCCCTCTCATTCCTCCCACGATGCACCAAGCCCTGTCTGGACCCTGGTGTGGGAGGCCCGACCCTGGCGAGGGGCTGACTTCTGGGTCTGAAGTGGAGCCGCTGACCGGAGCTGAACTGGCCCCCGGTGGAGCGGACTGCTCTGGCTCCAGAGTGGACCCGCTGACCGGAGCTAGACTGGGCACCGGTGGAGCGACTGCTCTGGCTCCGGAATGGATCCGCTGACCGGAGCTGGACTAGGCACAGGTGGAGCGGACTGCTCTGGCTCCGGAGTGGAACCACTGACCGGAGCTGGACTAGGCACCGGTGGAGCGGACTGCTCTGGCTCCGGAATGGATCCGCTGACCGGAGTTGGACTCGGCACCGGTGGAGCGGACTGCTCTGGCTCCGGAGTGGAGCCGCTGACCGGAGCTGCACTGGACCCCGGTGGAGCGGACTGCTCTGGATCCGGAGTGGAGCAACCGACCGGAACTGGATCAGGCACCGGTGGAGCGGATTGCTCTGGCTCCGGAGTGGAGCAACCGACCGGAGCGGGATCAGGCACCGGTGGAGCAGGCCGGGCCGGACTGGGGACACGCACCACTGGTCTGGTGCGAGGAGCAGGCACGGGCCTTACCAGACTGGGAACACGCACCACTGGCTTGGTGTGAGGTGCAGGCACGGGCTGGGCCGGACTGGAGACACGCACCACTGGCCTGGTGTGGGTAGCAGGTACGGGGCGTACTGGGCTGGCGACACGCACCACTGGTTTGGTGCGAGGAGCAGGGACGGGCCGTACCGGACTGGATACACGGACCACTGGTTTGGTGCGGGGAGCAGGCACGGGCCGTACCGGACTGGGAACCGGCGCTGGAGGTCTACGACTGTACCAGTCCTTTACTCTCCGCGCCCAGTCCTCCTCCAGTGAGGACTCCTCCTTGAGCCCTCACGAGTGCAGTGGTCGGGGCTCTTCTCTATCGATCCCCGACCACCCTTTTAGCCCCCCCAACATTTTTTATTGGGGCTGTCTCTCGTGCTTCCTCCTCGGCTGAAGCCTTCTGTGTTCCTCTCCTGCCTGGGCCTCCTCCTTCGCCCAGGGTCCTTCACCTGCCAAAATCTCCTGCCATGTCCAAAAACACTTCCCCACCTGTGTCCAGGGTGTCTGCTGCTCCTGGGCACGCTGCTTGGTCCGTTTTTGGTGGGCTCTTCTGTCACGAACATTGAGAGACGGGTCAGACCAAGGTGCAGCGTGAAAAGCGTAAATGTTAATTAAACTCAATAAACATAAACAAAACAAGAAACAACGTAACGCGAAGTCCTCAGGCTATACACATACAAGCCTAACACGGAACAAGATCCCACAACTAAGGTAGGCAAACAGGCTACTTAAGTATGATCCCCAATCAGAGACAATGAGCGACAGCTGTCTCTGATTGGGAATCACACCCGGACAAACATAGAAATACAATACCTAGAACATAAACATAGAATTTCTAGCATAGATTCTCATGCCCTGACCAAACCAACTAAAGATGACCGGCCTCTCAAGGCCAGGGCGTGACATTCAACCACAAAGACCAGGGAGGTTTTCCAATACCTTGCAAAGAAGGGCACCGATAGATAAAAAAGCGAAGGTGAAGTTATTAATTATACTTATCTAATCACGACATATGTGTTTTATTTTTCATTAGTAAAAAATTAAATAAAATCTTCCACTTTGACATTACAGAGTATTTTGTGTTGATTGTAGACAAAAAATGACAATTCAATCCATTTGAACCCCACTTTGTAACACAACAAAATGTGGAAAAAGTCAAGGGGCATGAATACTTTCTGAATGCACTGTACATAGTTACAGTAACACAGTGAGTAAACAATTATTTTGTTTGTGATCCCTGCAGGAATTGAACCTGTGACCTTGGCATAGCTAATAACACACTCTTACAAACTGAGCCACACAAGACCACACTTGTGACTGTAGGCTACAGTGACTACTGCTTTATGTCATTACATCAAAAGGTTAACTTCAGAATTAATTTGCATGACTTGTATCACCAAAGCCTGATGCCAATACCAGTAGAATGAACTCACAACCAGGTGGTTGCCTGTCTGAATTCCACAAGGCATAATGCTGCATTATGATGAACACTGGACCAAGCCACTAAACCTGAGTAGCTAAGTACTCTAATATCAGCATGCAATGCATTCATAAAAATTTTAAAAGCATTTCCAATGCACTTTAAGTACTGTTAATAATACTAATAATATGCCACTTAGCAGACACATTTTGTAAAGTGACTTACAGTACATTTACAGTGAGTGCATTCATTTGTATTATGTGTTTGTAATCCCTGCGGGAATTGATACCATGACTGTAAAAATAAGGAGACAGGACACCATTGTGTTAGCTTTAGGAACGTGTTTAGTAAGATAAACCTGGATATAGTGCAAGAGCATTATGGGTACTGTAGAACATCAGGCTACAATGACCACAATGATCTTACCAACTGAGCCACACAAGACCTTATCAGAGCCCTAGAGCAAGTACTTAATACCAGTATGCATTCATACAAATACAATTTAAAAAGCATTTCTATTGCATTTTAAGTGGTGTTAGTTGTCAGAGCCACTCACAGTGAAGTAGAAACCCTCGGTCTCCTGCTGATTGGCTCGTCTCTTAGCAACGTTGACTTTGCTCATGTAGGAGTCAGACGAGGCAGACTTGACCGACTCAGTGGACTGGCTGTGTTGGAAAGCCTCAGACACATCAAAGTCCTCCACTGTCAGCATGTCCTGCAGCGTCTGCATGGTGGCATCCAGAGTCTTCCTCACCTATGAAGGACAGCAGGGAAAGAGAGGAGAGTCATTTAGCTGGGTCACAACTTCAATATTTACTGTGTTTTCCCTGCACACAATAGGCAGGTTTCCGTTGACCCAGGTTTATTCGACAAAAGCAATATTTGCACCATGTGTAATGGAAATGGCAGATTTAGGATATATTTTCAAAAGATTGAGAAAAAATAATGATCAGTTCGACATGGGTGGATTTTTATTTTGTCGAACCTTCTTTATTGCGCACATTTTTTATGGAAACTGTGTTATTTGAATAAATGATGATTGCCTAATCATTTTGAAGGTATGCGGGCACGTGATTTTACTGCGTAACAATAAAGCTCCAATCCACATTTAAATCTAAATGCCTACTGCTTGCTAAATCAATTTTTCAACTATAAAATCATGTTACTTTGCAGGAAAAGGATTGTCCTGTCTTTCAAGAATGCCTGAATTGCTTCGCCTTGCTTTTCTGGTTGGCTGGCAAGTTTCACCATCCAATTATTTCAGATCTACAGGAGTGCAAGTTTCACCATGGACCATGGTGATACGTTGGCACATGAGAATTATTAGACTATGGCAAATATTTGTAAATGATTGCATTCTATATAATGCTGGCTTTCACAGGCTACCTGAGATATGAAACAGATAGGTGGGAGGGCATTTCCCTAAATGGGTAATGGAAACATTTTTTTTAGGTGTGACGTCATTAGATGTTTTTATCGACACAAGATAGTTCCATGGAAACACACCCTAGCAGGCTATTGTCGCATCTATTTTCTATGCAAACTTTCTTAATGTCGACCAAAAATCTCTGGACAAGTTAATGGAAACATAGCTAATGAGACTTCAAAGATTGTATTTCTATTTATTATGGATTATGGATCCTGGGGTCCAGCAAAAAGGCTGTTCATACGAATTGAAAAACATTACAATACATTGACAGATTTCACAACACACTGTGCCCTCAGGCCCCTACTCCACCACTACCACATATCTACAGTACAAAATCCATGTGTATGTGTGTGTATAGTGCGTATGTTATCGTGTGTGTTTATACATGTGTCTGCGCCTATGTTTGTGTTGCTTCACAGTCTCCGCTCTTCCATAAGGTATTTTTGTATCTGTTTTTTCAATCTAATTTTACTACTTGCATCAGTTACTTGATGTGGAATAGAGTTCCATGTAGTCATGGCTCTATGTAGTATTGTGTGCCTCCCATAGTCTGTTCTGGACTTGGGGACTGTGAAGAGACCTCTGGTGGCATGTCTTGTGGGGTATGCATGTTTGTCCGAGCTGTGCGCCAGTAGTTCAAACAGACAGCTCGGTGCATTCAACATGTCAATACCTCTCATTAATACAAGTAGTGATGAAGTCAATCTCTCCTCCACTTTGAGCCAGGAGAGATTGACATGCATATTATTAATATTAGCTCTCTGTGTACATCCAAGGGCCAGCCGTGCTGCCCTGTCCTTTTTTGTGGCAGCTGACCACACGACTGAACAGTAGTCCAGGTGTGACAAAACTAGGGCCTGTAGGACCTGCCTTGTTGATAGTGCTGTTAAGAAGGTAGAGCAGTGCTTTATTATTGATATACTTCTCCTCCATCTTAGCTACTGTTGTATCAATATGTTTTGACCATGACAGTTTACAATCCAGGGTTACTCCAAGCAGTTTAGTCACCTCAACTTGCTCAATTTCCACATTATTTAGTACAAGATTTAGTTGAGGTTTAGGGTTTAGTGAATGATTTGTCCCAACTACAATGCTTTTAGTTTTATAAATATTTAGGACTAACTTATTCCTTGCCACCCACTCTGAAACTAACTGCAACTCTTTGTTATGTGTTGCAGTCATTTCAGTCGTTGTAGTAGCTGACATGTATAGTGTTGAGTCATCCGCATACATAGACACTATGGCTTTACTCAAAGCCAGTGGCATGTAATTAGTAAAGATTGAAAGAAGTAATGGGCCTAGACAGCTGCCCTGGGGAATTCCTGATTCTACCTGGATTATGTTGGAGAGGCTTCCATTAAAGAACACCCTCTGTGTTCTGTTAGACAGGTAACTATTTATCCACAATAAAGCCATAACACATACGTTTTCCAGCAGCAGACTATGATCAATAATGTCAAAAGCCGCACTGAAGTCTAACAAAACAGCCCCCACAATATTTTTATCATCAATTTCTCTCAGCCAATCATCGGTCATTTGTTTAAGTGCTGTGCTTGTTGAATGTCCTTCTCTATAAACATGCTGAAAGTTTGTTGTCAATTTGTTTACTGTAAAATAGCATTGTTTCTGGTCAAACACAATTTTTTCCAATAGTTTACTAACGGTTGGTAACAGGCTGATTGGTCGGCTATTTGAGCCAGTAAAGGGGGCTTTACTATTCTTAGGTAGCGGAATGACTTTTGCTTCCCTCCAAGCCTGGGGGCACACACATTCTAGTAGGCTTAAATTGAAAATATGGCAAATAGGAGTGGCAATATTGTCCTCTATTATCCTCAGTAATTTTCCATCCAAGTTGTCAGACCCCGGTGGCTTGTCATTGTTGATAGACAACAATAATTTTGTAATGGGAAATGGAATTGCATAATGCTCTTTGAGGGCAAAATGTCAAATTGAAGAATCAAATGTCACACATATGGGTCGTTCCAATTCAATTTGGTGCCTTTGAGTAGTCTAACTTGGTAAAAATAATAATAACAATAACTTCATGTAATTTGAACATTCTGTTAAGTGCCAAATAAAGTAACAGGGTTAACAACGTCATCTTAAATCAGCCATAAATTCCCTTGTGACAGGGGGAATGGAAGCTTGTTGTGTATGTACAACAGTGAGGGGCTATTGAATGCAAGCTTCATTAAAACATTTAAATTGTTAAAAAAATTCTAGCCTGTCTATCTATGGGTCACAGGTTTGACGTGTTATGCTCTACCCGCTCAGTTTTCCATTACAGAATACCAGCAAATGGCCAAAAAGAAAAGAACCAGCTCACCTGCGTTTACACTATGGTTTGACTATTAGATGTGCAATGTCTCTTTTGAAAAAACATATTTAAAAAAGGAATAGTTTCACCATACAAAAATGAGAGTTCAGTTCATGTAACAGGGTTGATCTTAAAATGAGGGACAGGCTTGTCATTTTTTTCCTTAAAATGAATCACTAATAACATTAAGTAAATAATCATCTTCAGATACAGTGGGGAAAAAAAGTACTTAGTCAGCCACCAATTGTGCAAGTTCTCCCACTTAAAAAGATGAGAGAGGCCTGTAATTTTAATCATAGGTACACGTCAACTATGACAGACAAAATGAGAAAAAAATATCCAGAAAATCACATTGTAGGATTTTTAATGAATTTATTTGCAAATTATGGTGGAAAATAAGTATTTGGTCAATAACAAAAGTTTCTCAATACTTTGTTATATACCCTTTGTTGGCAATGACACAGGTCAAACGTTTTCTGTAAGTCTTCACAAGGTTTTCACACACTGTTGCTGGTATTTTGGCCCATTCCTCCATGCAGATCTCCTCTAGAGCAGTGATGTTTTGGGGCTGTCGCTGGGCAACACGGACTTTCAACTCCCTCCAAAGATTTTCTATGGGGTTGAGATCTGGAGACTGGCTAGGCCACTCCAGGACCTTGAAATGCTTCTTACGAAACCACTCCTTCGTTGCCTGGGCGGTGTGTTTGGGATCATTGTCATGCTGAAAGACCCAGCCACATTTCATCTTCAATGCCCTTGCTGATGGAAGGAGGTTTTCACTCAAAATCTCACGATACATGGCCCCATTCATTCTTTCCTTTACACGGATCAGTCGTCCTGGTCCCTTTGCAGAAAAACAGCCCCAAAGCATGATGTTTCCACCCCCATGCTTCACAGTAGGTATGGTGTTCTTTGGATGCAACTCAGCATTCTTTGTCCTCCAAACACGACGAGTTGAGTTTTTACCAAAAAGTTATATTTTGGTTTCATCTGACCATATGACATTCTCCCAATCCTCTTCTGGATCATCCAAATGCACTCTAGCAAACTTCAGACGGGCCTGGACATGTACTGGCTTAAGCAGGGGGACACGTCTGGCACTGCAGGATTTGAGTCCCTGGCGGCGTAGTGTGTTACTGATGGTAGGCTTTGTTACTTTGGTCCCAGCTCTCTGCAGGTCATTCACTAGGTCCCCCCGTGTGGTTCTGGGAATTTTTGCTCACCGTTCTTGTGATCATTTTGACCCCACGGGGTGAGATCTTGCGTGGAGCCCCAGATCGAGGGAGATTATCAGTGGTCTTGTATGTCTTCCATTTCCTAATAATTGCTCCCACAGTTGATTTCTTCAAACCAAGCTGTTACCTATTGCAGATTCAGTCTTCCCAGCCTGGTGCAGGTCTACAATTTTGTTTCTGGTGTCCTTTGACAGCTCTTTGGTCTTGGCCATAGTGGAGTTTGGAGTGTGACTGTTTGAGGTTGTGGACAGGTGTCTTTTATACTGATAACAAGTTCAAACAGGTGCCATTAATACAGGTAACGAGTGGAGGACAGAGGAGCCTCTTAAAGAAGAAGTTACAGGTCTGTGAGAGCCAGAAATCTTGCTTGTTTGTAGGTGACCAAATACTTATTTTCCACCATAATTTGCAAATAAATTCATTAAAAATCCTACAATGTGATTTTCAGGAAAAAAAAATCTCAATTTGTCTGTCATAGTTAACGTGTACCTATGATGAAAATTACAGGCCTCTCTCATCTTTTTAAGTGGGAAAACTTGCACAATTGGTGGCTGACTAAATACTTTTTTCCCCCACTGTATGACTTTGTCAAAGCAACAAAATAACTGGGGCTTTACAATGATGGTGAAAACTTGGGAGAAATGTTGACAGGTTAGAGGGCGGGGCGCGCGTAGACAAGATGGCGTATTGAATAGAAAGCGGTACAAATCACCTCAAGATAAAAACATCATATTCAAAATCAGTAAGTTAGACTAAATATTAGCATTTCATATATTCACAGTTAATATAATTCAATCTGGATAATAACACAAAACAGATCATAAGGCTAGAGAAATATATCGACAAATATTACAACAACACGCAACACCCAAAAATGGCGGAAGATAAGCGTGGAGAGCCGATCCAAGAGAAAACGCGACTCATCGACTGATACAGATGATATACGCTTTTCACCACTGGGTCTGGTAAGTGTGGAAAGTGACCTGTTGAAGTCGATAAATGACAAATTGGGCATACTAGAATTGGTCAGTAAGGACGTAAAAGAGTTGAAAGTGAGTCTTCAAATGAGTGACGAAAAAGCTTTGGTAATGGAGAAAGAAACCAAAGAATTAAAAGTGACAGTCTCTAAGATGGAAACGGACGTTAGGGAACTTAAAAAGGAGAACAACCTTCTGAGAGAAGCCTTACTAGACATCCAAACTAGATCGATGAGAGAAAATCTAGTACTTACGGGTATTCAGGAAAAGGAGGGAGAAATAACAGAGAATATTATGAAGGACTTCCTGCATACAGCGCTACAAATCCCACTCGAGGCTGTCGATAAAATCCAACTCGAACGTATACACCATTTCGGAAAAAGAGGACAGAAATATGAGCGCCCAATCGTTGCCAAATGTGCTTTTTTTTAAGATAAAGCAATGGTTAAAAGCCTAGGGAAAAGACTTGCTGGCACGAAAATAGGCATGAATGATCAGTTCCCGAGGGAGATTGCAGAAAGGCGCAAAGTTCTATATCCAATCTTCAAGGAAAACAGATTAAAAGGGAAACGTGTTGCACTCGTGGTGGATAAACTGTATATTGACAACCAAATGTTCAGAGACACAAAGACTAGTCCATGGGGGGGATGGACCACGGGAATTATTTGCTAGGATAATATTTGCTTGTCAATAAAATAAATGTAATAAAATGGCAATCCGGGTTATATGTTAAAATCCTACGCATGAACTGCCGACATTATTACGCATATTAATTGATAATGATGGTAAATAGGATATGCATATTTTTTTTTAAATAGTTATATATATATATAGCGGGGGAATTAATGGAGAACAATTGAAGGGTTACTCCGTAGCAATGCAAATATCACAGTACAGCTATATGGACGCTCAATCATTACAGTATTTTTTATTGGTAAATTTACAAACATATATAATGATAAATAGACTTGAAACTTGTATCTCATTATGGTGTATGGTGAAATAGGTATAGCCAGTTATAATTGTAATGGCTTAGCTGATAATAACAAAAGAAGAACAATATTTACATGGCTCAAAGAGAAGGAATATAATATCTATTGTATACAGGAAACTCATTAAACAATTCGAGATGAAGTTGCGTGGAAAAAGGAATGGGGGGGGGGGGGGGGGGGGGGGGGGGGGGGAAATATACTTCTCCCATGGGCAAAGAAATTCAAAAGGGGTGATGATATTAATTAATAGTAATTTCGATCCGAATGTGCAAATTGTCCAAATAGATACGCAAGGTAGATGGATTATTTTAAATATGTTATTGGACCATAAACAGATATGGCTCATTAACCTTTACGGACCAAATAATGATGATCCACAATTCTTTGACAATATATTTAATAAATTATTAACCCTGCAAGCAATTCAAGACAATATTATTATGGTGGGGGATTATAATACTGTTTTAAATAGCTCAATGGACCGTAAAGGAAATCACACCACAAACAATCACCCACATGCTCTTAAGGAAATTGTGAATGTCATGGATACATTAGAACTAGTAGATATATGGAGGCTTAAATATACTGATCTAGTGAGATATACATGGCGGAGACTCAATCAAGCTAGTCGTCTTGACTTCTTTCTTATCTCATTCTCGTTGGTACCAAAGGTTTAAAAAGTGTTGATAGGGGACAGAATGCGGTCGGACCATCATATAATTGGCATATACATTACTCTTACTGAATTTCCACGTGGGCGAGGATATTGGAAATGTAATCAAAGCCTATTGGATGATAATTTATTTATAATTAGAACAAAGGAATTTATAACTGACTTTTTCCGACATACAGAGGGGAAAAAAAGTATTTAGTCAGCCACCAATTGTGCAAGTTCTCCCACTTAAAAAGATGAGAGGCCTGTAATTTTCATCATAGGTACACGTCAACTATGACAGACAAATTGAGGAAAAGAAATCCAGAAAATCACATTGTAGGATTTTTTATGAATTTATTTGCAAATATGGTGGATAATAAGTATTTGGTCACCTACTAACAAGCAAGATTTCTGGCTCTCACAGACCTGTAACTTCTTCTTTAAGAGGCTCCTCTGTCCTCCACTCGTTACCTGTATTAATGGCACCTGTTTGAACTTGTTATCATTATAAAAGACACCTGTCCACAACCTCAAACAGTCACACTCCAAACTCCACTATGGCCAAGACCAAAGAGCTGTCAAAGGACACCAGAAACAAAATTGTAGACCTGCGCCAGGCTGGGAAGACTGAATCTGAAATAGGTAAGCAGCTTGGTTTGAATAAATCAACTGTGGGAGCAATTATTAGGAAATGGAAGACATACAAGACCACTGATAATCTCCCTTGATCTGGGGCTACACGCAAGATCTCACCCCGTGGGGTCAAAATGATCACAAGAACGGTGAGCAAAAATCCCAGAACCACATGGGGGGACCTAGTGAATGACCTGCAGAGAGCTGGGACCAAAGTAACAAAGCCTACCATCAGTAACTCACTACGCCGCCAGGGACTCAAATCCTGCAGTGCCAGACATGTCCCCCTGCTTAAGCCAGTACATGTCCAGGCCCGTCTGAAGTTTGCTAGAGTGCATTTGGATGATCCAGAAGAGGATTGGGAGAATGTCATATGGTCAGATGAAACCAAAATAGAACTTTTTGGTAAAAACTCAACTCGTCGTCTTTGGAGGACAAAGAATGCTGAGTTGCATCCAAAGAACACCATACCTACTGTGAAGCATGGGGGTGGAAACATCATGCTTTGGGGCTGTTTTTCTGCAAAGGGACCAGGACGACTGATCCGTGTAAAGGAAAGAATGAATGGGGCCATGTATCGTGTGATTTTGAGTGAAAACCTCCTTCCATCAGCAAGGGCATTGAAGATGAAACGTGGCTGGGTATTTCAGCATGACAATGATCCCAAACACACCGCCCAGGCAACGAAGGAGTGGCTTCGTAAGAAGCATTTCAAGGTCCTGGAGTGGCCTAGCCAGTCTCCAGATCTCAACCCCATAGAAAATCTTTGGAGGGAGTTGAAAGTCCGTGTTGCCCAGCGACAGCCCCAAAACATCACTGCTCTAGAGGAGATCTGCATGGAGGAATGGGCCAAAATACCAGCAACAGTGTGTGAAAACCTTGTGAAGACTTACAGAAAACGTTTGACCTGTGTCATTGCCAACAAAGGGTATATAACAAAGTATTGAGAAACTTTTGTTATTGACCAAATACTTATTTTCCACCATAATTTGCAAATAAATACCTATGATGAAAATTACAGGCCTCTCTCATCTTTTTAAGTGGGAGAACTTGCACAATTGGTGGCTGACTAAATACTTTTTTCCCCCACTGTATAATGTATAAATCAGTCAGCCTGGTAGGGGACATCTGGTTGCGCGTGTGACTGTGTGAAGATAAATAGAACGACAAATTGTGTTCTGTCAATGTGAGAGGTACCGAGGAAGTGGCTGAATGAACAGAGCACCTCCATATTCATAGGAGCGATATGGTGACCTTTACAAACATCTGTCTGACTGAAGCAGCAGAGTGAGGCAGGCAGGCAGACAGGCAGACAGGCAGACAGGCAGCAGGCAAATGTTCCACAATTTTAGCTACTGAACATGGCCCAGGTGGTGAGTTGACAGACTGATAATGTAACAGGTTTAGGGTTAGGGTCAGGGTTTTAGAGCTCACCTCCTCGTTCTCGATCTTGAGCGTGGCCAGGCGGGACTGGAGCTGGTGGTGACGCATCAGGAGCTCTATCTGTACCGGCTGCTGGGCACTCACCTGACACACCTAGTAGGGAGGGAGGGAGGGAGAGGGGGAGAGAGAGAGAGAGAGAGAGAGAGAGAGAGAGAGAGAGAGAGAGAGAGAGAGAGAGAGAGAGAGAGAGAGAGAGAGAGAGAGAGAGAGAGAACTTACAGTAGTGTTTGTTTGGGATCCCAGAATGGAACTGACCCCAAGACGCTGGCATTGCTGATGCAAGCCACACAGGACCAGACAGAGGAAACACAGACATAGTGGGAGGCACAATCACCCCTCCAATCACCCCTCCCTCACCTCATCGCCCATGTGTGGCTGGTAGTCGAAGCGGGCGGGCGGGCAGAAGATCTGGCTGTGCATATCCATGACCCTGTGTTTGTCCCCCCTGACATCCATGGCATCCACGGCCCCCTCCAGCTGGTCAAGCCCCTCGTGGCGGGACGTCTCCAGGCTGTACTCTGCAGACAGGTAGGTCCTCAGGGTCCGTGCCAGGCTGGCATGGTAGCCCAGGTCACAGCACTGGGGAGAGGCATGGACAGCATTACCACCATTGGGAATCCTTAATGTTAGCTACAGACCAATGGGGAGAGATAATGTGTTACATGATGCTAGTATGCTTCCATTCATCAAACTATTTATTACTGTATCATTTATTTATTGCAATACAATATAATCGATGAAATGGTCACTTCAAACAAATAGGAGATACTGTGTAACAAGATACAACTATGCTTCAATTGATCAAACTACTGTATCTATTTTTCATTGCTATCAATAGAACGGTAACTTAGAATAAAATACCATGTGTGTTAAAAGGTGCTAATGTGTTACAAGATGCTACTGAGCTTTTGTGTATGAAATTGATGCATTTTTCCTGTGTTTATACTATTCTCACTTTGTTAGAATCAGCATGTACTGTACCACTCACGTCTATCATGTCAGAGACATCGTGGATGTAATATTTGGCCACCAGAGCATTGGTCGCCACCAGGTTCAACAAATAGTCGTTCCGCGCTTTAGTGCACTTCAGCTTGTTTTCAGAGTACTTGGCTTGTCTCTGGGGAGAGCGGGAGAGAAGAGGGAGAGAGAGCCAGAGAGAGAGAGAGAGAGAGAGAGAGAGAGAGATAGAGCGAGTGAGAGAGAGAGAAAGAGAGAGAGAGAGTCATCAGTCAGTATACCATAGAAGATATATCTGTAAATGGATTTGTATACTAAAGATGTAATACAGTTTGTTCCATCTAGATAGGTCTAATTTTATCTAAATACTTTGCATGTGCCATATGAGACAATAGAGGTCTAGTCTTACCATGGCAACAAAACCACTTAACGTTTTTGCTCATTACTGTATACATTCACTCATGAAATTTCAGAGGCTAATGCATCCAAGTTCTCTGAGCTTCTACATACATTTGACACACACACACACACACACAGCCCAAGCCACACCTTTTCCTTCATCTTCTCTATCTTCTTGACGGAGCTGTGTCGCTGTTGGCGGTCGTCATGGCGCAGGAGGCTGGTGCTGACATCATTGGCCTTGCCGATCTGCTTTTCTCCCTGTTTCTCCACCTCCTTCAACTTGCTCTCTGCGCTGATGCTCTCTGTGTGGTACATGTGGTATGTCTTCATCACCTGCCCAGGACACAAAACATACTCAACTAAGTTCACTTTAAGGTTCTTTGTCTAGACGTTTACATTGGTCATGAGGGCAACTCTCTATCTCAATGGAGTAACCACACAATATACACTAAACTCACAATAAGCGTGAAACTCAAACTTTTTGTATAATTTTGTATAATTGTATATATTTTTTTAATAATTTCCGCCAGTAGTTTGAAAGTAGCGCTCATGAACAAAAACAGGTCCCCGAAAATTGTGCACAATTGGTCGGGTGGAACGAGCAAGCCCTGATCGACCATTTTCGGTGCCATCTGCGGGAGGACGTCCGACGGGAGCTAGCCTGCCGGGACACCATGTTGTCCTTCACGCAACTGGTGGACATGGCCATCCGTTTAGACAACCTGCTGGCAGCCAGAGGACGTCCTGGAAGGGGTCTGCCCGTTCCCACCCCAGCCGACTTGGATCCCGAGCCGATGGAGCTGGGTGGAGCCGCCGTCCGAGAGAGCGGAGGATGACAGCGACAGTGCCACTCTGGTGGCACGAAGGGACAGTACACCACACGTTGTCATCAACGCTCTTTTGGGTCTGGATGTGGCAGGCAGGGCACTCTCACATCACCCCAGGTATCGAACACTCACACTCGTTCAGAGCCCTCTGCTGCGCACTGTACCCTACTCATCTACTTTCCTGATCACATGGTAGTTCCCCAGTGTAAGGCGCTAGTCGATTCAGGCGCAGCTGGGAACTTTATGGACAGGGCATTCTCACGCCGTCTAGGCATTTCTGTACTCTGTATTCGGTGAATTACCCTCCTGCGCCTGACTCCTTCTAATCACACTCATCACAAATTGTGTACAACGTCATCCATTTCGTATGATATGTAACGTCCTGAAAATGTTATTTCTAAAATAATTATTATAATTTCCCCCTGCAATTCGTATGACATGTTACGAATTTCAATTTGTACAATATGTTGTGAATTTGTAAGTGCTTAAGATCCCATTCATTCTCTTTAATATAAATGGAAGATTGGTTAGACATGCATATCTAAAGAGGATTCAGCATATAAATCCACCTGTATACTGTACACTGAATAAGAACACAGAAAGACAGCTACTGTCAGATGTGTGACTGAGTGCTAATACTAGGTTACCTCTATTGATTTCCTGTCCCTTCACACCTAAAACGTATTTATTAAAAAAACGTACAGGTCTCCTAACAACTCTGATTTAAGTAATACATGTGAGGAGAGAGCAAGTGAAATCAATCAACAGGAAGTCTGTCGTAGCCAAGTTACAGAGAACCTTTCCTCTACTTACATTACACAGAACCTTTCCTCTAGCTGAGTTACAGAGAACATTTCCTCTAGTTGAGATACAGAGAACCATTCCTCTACACCCTAAAACATTTTAAAAAAAAAGTTATACCTTATAGGATACTTCAGATGCGCTTATGGCACACACTGTTAGGTCCTCACATGGTACTGGTTGTTACAGAGAACCTTTCCTCTAGCTATGTAATAGAGAACCTTTCCTTTTTCCTCTGACTGCTGATGGGTGGGAAACAAAAGAGGAGCCCTTGATTCTGACTGGAAGCCAGATCAGGCTGGAGTCATGTTAAAGAAAAGCTCTCACATTGTGCATGATACATCAGTACAGTACATAAAACATGTACAAGTATGTACAGTGCCTTCAGAAAGTATTCATACTCCTTGACTTATTCCCCATTTTGTTGTGTTACAGCCTGAAATCAAAATTGATTAAATTAATGTTTGTCTCACCCATCTACACACAATATCCATCTACACATAATTTTTTAGATTTTTAGGCAAATTTATTGAAAATGAAATACAGAAATATGTAATTTACGTAAGTATTCAGACCCCTGAGTCAATACTTTGTAGAAGCACCTTTCGCAGCGATTACAGCTATGAGTCTTTCTGGGTACATCTCTAAGATATTTCCACACCTGGATTGTGCAACATTTGCCTATTATTATTTTCAAAATTCTTAAAGCTCTGTCAAATTGGATAACCATTTTCAGGTCATAGATTTTCAAGTAGATTTAAGTCAAAACTGTAACTCGGCCACTCAAGAACATTCACTGTCTTCTTGGTAAGCAACTCCAGTGTAGATTTGGCCTTGGGTTTTAGGTTATTGTCCTGCTGAAAGGTGAATTAATCTCCCAGTGTCTGGTGGAAAGCTGACTGAACTAGATTTTCCTCTAGGATATTGCCTGTGCTTAGCTCCATTCCATTTCTTTTTTATCCTGAAAAACTCCCCAGTCCTTCACGATTACAAGCATACCCATAACATGATGCAGCCACCATTGTGGCAGCTACTATTAGCTAGCCAAGTGCAAAGCTAGCCACTGAATTGACTCAGCCAGTTCGCGTCTGTTCACTCGGTCGTTCCAGCTATTGTTTACAAGTAGCTATCCAGGTTGCAACAAGCTTGCTAATTTTCAAGCACAGTAGCCACTTGCTACCTAACGTTAACGGTTCAGACAATGAGGTTAGAAAACAGCTGAATGGTAGGCAATTATTGTATGTGATTATTGTAGGCAGCCAGCTGGCGTAATTACAGTCACTCTCAGGCGTGAAACAACTATACCATTGCTGATAGCTAGTTAGTTAGCTAGCTAGAATAGTTAGCAAACTAGCTAGCCATTGCTTTCAGACAAAGAAGAACCTCTCCTTTCACGGCACGAATACACAGAGAGAGCCAAACAAAAAAAAATGCTTTGCCACATTTTTTTGCAGTATTACTTTAGTGCCTTGTTGCAAACAGGATGCATGTTTTCTAATATTTTTATTCTGTACAGGCTTCCTTCTTTTCACTCTGTCAATTAGGTTACTACAATGTTGTTGATCCATCCACAGTTTTCTCCTATCACAGCTATTAAACTCTGTAACTGTTTTAAAGTCACCATTGGCCTCATGGTGAAATCCCTGAGCGGTTTCCTTAATCTCCGGCAACTCTGGTCTTTGTGTTTGAATCTGTGTTTGAAATTCACTGCTCGACTGAGGGACCTTACAGATAATTGTATGTGTGGGGTACAATGATGAGGTAGTCATTCCAAAATCATGTTAAACACTATTATTGCACACAGTCCATGCAACCTATTATGTGACTTGTTCAGCACATTTTTACTCTTGAATTTATTAGGCTTGCCATAACAAAGGGGTTGAATACTTATTGACTGAAGACATTTCAGCTTTTCATTTGTAATTAATTAGTAAAAAAAATTGAAAAACATAATTCCACTTTGACATTATGGGGTATTGTGTGTAGGCCAGTGACAAAAAAAATCTAAATTTAATCCATTTAAAATTCTGTCTGTATAACAACAACATTTGGAAAAAGCCAAGGAATGTGAATACTTTCTGAAGGCACTGTACAAGTACTAGTTATGAATGTTGTCACCTACTGCGTGTACATGAACATATAATTATAAGACATACAGAGAGAAAGCTGTTTAGAAATCATACACATGATAAAAGGCCAATCAATGAACATCTGCATCATAATGTATTATGCTGCATGTCATGCAGAATCATTCTCCTGTGGCCCTTAAGCCATGTATTTTAAGTCACAGCATGACTATGGGTTTCATGTAGCAATGCCTGCTGGCTGTTGCACAGTGTGATAGTGTTATTTTCCAATGCACACTGACCTGCCAACAGCACATCAATATATATCTCAAGGATGTCAATGGACAGACTGCACGTGTCCACACTAGTCAGTAACAGCCATTCGATTTACAATTCAACCACAACAAACAAACGGGATTACACTTTTTTTTTAAACACATTTTAGTCATTTAGCAGACGCTCTTATCCAGAGCGACTTACAGTTAGTGAGTGCATACATTATATATTTTTTTTTTTCATAATGGGACC